AAGCTTTGAGCTGCAATACTGAATAATGTTACAGGCCAAACGAAAACTAGTATCTTTGATCTTTTATTGATTAAATCTTTTAATATTGTGGTTGGAGAGAGCCAACAGCATGTCGTTGTACTACAATATCAAGAAGTGCTTGGAAGATGAGGGGGTGGGAAAGTGTGCATGAATGAACGAATAAAAAAAAATATTTTCAAAAGTGCACGGGGAAGTTAGTATAAACATTTTTAAAGTGTGTTAAAAATCATTTTAAAAACCAACATACTAACAGTGGCTAACTATGGGTAGTAAAAATGAACCTTTATCCTTTAGTGGTTGCTATGAACAGAAAATGCAAGAATAGATACTAGAAATTCACACCATTTAGATTTTATTGCTATTTATTAACTTTCTAAAAATAATCTTCATTTTAGAATAGTTTTACATTTATAGAAAAGTTTCAAAGAGTTTCATTTAATACAATTTCCATATGTAAACCTTACACCAAATTTCCCATTACTCATATCTTACATTAATCAGATACATTTATCACAATTAGTGAGCCAATAGTGTTTTCTTCCTAATTAAACTCTACATTTTTTTCCAAATTCCTTTTGTGTGTGTATATATATATCTCATCTCTTTTTCTGATCTAGGATCTTAGCATGCATTACTTTTAAAACAAAGCACTTTAAGACCTCAGATCTTTTTTAAAAATAATTTTGGTTTATAACTAATGTGGCATCTTTATAAATGTTTATGTAAATTAAAAATATTTCACTTTTTAAATCCTACATTATAAATTTTGTAAATTTTAGGATGCCAATTTAACATTGAGAATAATAAATCTTAAAGTAGGGGAAATCACTAGATTGAAGAATGTTTTATTAAGGGAGAAGGGTTGTTTTTTTTTAATAGGGAAGTTAAAATCACAATGTTAGAAATAAAAACTGTGGGAAAAGCTAAAATATCTTGTTTAGACAGGGTGTAAACATAAGAAAAAATATTTTGGGTTTTTTTTTTAAAAAAAAAAATCACAATACTAAGGATGACCAAAAATGTTCCAGAGGATGTAGGAATCCTGGCAGCACACACAGGCTTAACTACTCAGCCAGAAGGTTGGTAGCTCAAGCCCACCTAGAAAGAGAGGCTTGCTGATCAGCTTCTAGAAAGCCACAGCCTTGAAAACCTTATGGAGAAGTTCTAATCTGCAAATAGAGGTCCACCATGAGTCAGAACTGGTTTGACAGCTGATAACTACAGCATCAAATGTATTGACCCCTTTTTCCAGCAACAATTAATAAATAAAACAAAATTTTTTAAAAAAAATCCAAAGAATTTTATCCTTTATTGACATATTCAAGTATTCATCCTTCAGTATCCTGTTTTAAAAGTTAAAATTTGTCTTTATTCTTCTTGTTTCTCTTTTCTTTAATATTTAACACTCTAAAACTGATCATTTCATTTAGAAATTATAGAATATTATTTACTGTGAAGGTTAAAAAAATTAGCTTATTTAGAAACAAATAAAGATGATGTCTCAGAATAATTACATACTGTTTATTAGAGAAAAATATTCTAGAAAAAAGCATACCTGGTTTTCTTGTTTAGCTTTAGAAAACTGCTCCTGGAGATTATCATTGTCATGAGCCAAGATATCTCTTTCCCTGGCAATCTGAGCCAGCTCATCATTTGTTTCATCCAGTTGTCTACGCATTCTGGAAATGTCTTGTTCACACATAATTAGAGCTTCAGTAGACTGTCTATTCCACAAATCAAATAGTACATAAGAAGAGACATTTTACTGAAACAGAATAACAAATTCTCACAAGACGGAAAATAGACAGTTAACTGGAAAACATTAAGAGAAGTTTAAATGCACTTTAATCTTGTAGAAATAAATACTGCAAAAGACAAAGACAGACATTAGAGTTTCTCTCATCAACATTTCACTATAAGAGAGGATTTGCTTTCAAAACTTCTGACACTGACTTATAGGTGCTTATTCCTACCTGTAGTTGTAGATACCTCTTTGTCTTCTAAAAAAAATTATGTTTCTCAAGGCTTAACTCTTAACCTCTTGATTATCCCTTCTTTCAGAAAAATCAATTCTTATCTATAAAATTATTGCTTCCTTCTTTTTATTCTAAGTAATCTTATATTTACTTACTTACTAGAGATTTCTATATATTAAGACCTCAAAGGCTCCTCGAATTCAGAAGGAAACCTTTCTTTTCTCTTATACTTTCATCATGTCCAGTATTCATCTCTGAACAGAAACCTGGAATTTTCCTAAATTCTTTCCCTTATAAATAAATAAATAAATACCACATTTGCTCTTCTTCCTGTAAGCCCAGTTAGTCTTCTTATCACGTCTTCTGCCTAAGTAATCTTTTTAACACAAGTAATCATTTTTAACACTTGAAATTTTTCAATAATTTCTTTTCTTCCAAAGGATATAATATAAACACATTTCCTCTTTGGGTTCCCCAACACTCACTCACTTATAATTCAATTTTTTAGGATGATCTATGGTTCTTCAAAGGAGCTCTGGTGCTGCAGTTCATAGGAAGTTGTGCTGCTAACTTGAAGGCAGTGCCTCTGGCAGTTCTTTGATTCATGGCATACTTTTCTACCAGAAATACTGTAACTACCCTTTTTACTTAGCAAACATCTCTTTTACATTTTGTTGTTATATACTGTCAAGTACTAACCAACTCATAGCCTTTCCAGCAGGTTTTCAGTAAATCAAATGGGAGGAGACTGCGCATCTTTCTCATGCAGAGAAGCTGGTAGATTTGAACCATGTGTCTTTGGGTTGGCAGCACAACTCCTTACCTAAGCCATCAGAGTTTCCTTCTTTTACATTAGTCCTTCTTCAAATGTTATTTTTGTTAGGTGCTGTTGAGTCAATTCTGACTCACAACTATTATATGTACAATAGAATGAATCACTGCCTGGTCCTAGGTCATCCTCACAATTATTGCTAACCTTGGGCTCATTGTTGCAGCCACTGTGTCAGTCCATCTCATTGAGAGGCAGCCTCTTTACCACTGTCCTTCTTTTTCACCAAAAATGACGTCCTTCTCCAGGAACTGGCCTCCCATGAAAATATACCCAAAGTACATGCAACAGCATCTCATAATCTTTGCTGCTAAGAAGCACTCTAGCTATACTTCTACCAAGACACACTTATTTCTTTTTCCGGCAATCTGTGGTATGTACAAAATTTTTTAAAAATAACACCATAATTTAAACACATCAACTCTTCTTCAGGCTTCTTTATTTCTTATCCAGCTCTCACAAACTGAAGAGGTAATATTTAAAATACCATTACTTGGGTCAAGTGTGCCTTGCATCTTTTTGGTATTCTCTACTTTCGGCCAAGATTCATCTGACACCAGTACTCCAAATGACATCTTTGGCTTGTAACACTTTAAAGAGGTCTTTTGCAGCAGATTTGCCCCATGTGAAACTTTTGATTTCTCTACTGCTACTTCTATGGACACTGACTGCAGAGCCAAGTAAAATTAAATCCTTGACAACTTCAATCTTTTCTCCTTTTATTAAGATGTTGCTTATTGGTCCAGTTCAGTTTTGTTTTCTTTATGTTGATGCAGAATCAATCCACACTGAAGGTTGTAGTTTTAGATCTTTTATCAGTATTTCAAATTCTCCTTGCTTTCAGCAAAGTTGTGTCATCTGTATATTGCAGATAACTAATAAGTCTTCATCCAATCTTGAGGCCATATTCTTCTTTATATAGTTCAGTTTCTTAAAGTATGTGCTTAGCATATCTGCAATAACTATACAACCCTGATGCTCATCTTTCCTGATTTTAAGTTATGTAGTATTCCCTCCTCTGTTCATTACAATGTTATCTATAATTTGTTACTACTTATAGTTGAATGCCTTCACATATCAATAAAAAAAATCTTTCTAGCATTTCTTTGCTTTCAGCCAAGATCCATCTGACGTCAATTATGTTAAAAATCCACAACCTCTTCTGAATACAGCTGGAATACTCAGCAGCTCGCTGTGTATAAACTGCTGTAACTACTTCAGAGAAAATTTACTTTTATGTGAAATTAATGGTATTGTTTGATAATTTCTATATTCTGTTGAATTACATTTCTTTGCATTGGGTCTGAACACAGATCTCTTTCAGTTGATTGGCCAGGTAGCTTTCTTCCAATTTCTTGGCATGAACCAGTAAGTACTCCTTGTGTTGTATCCATTTGTTGAAACAACTCAGTTGGTTTTTTGTAAAAGTCTGGAGCCTTGTTTTCATCAGTGCCATCAATGCAGTTTGGCTATGTCCTTCTAAACAATCAGTTCTTAATCATATGCTACTTCTTGAAATTGAAAGTTTATCAATTCTTTTTGGTACAGAGACTGGGTGTTCTAACTTCTTTTGATGTTTCTTGCATTATTTTATGCATACATATATAAACCCTTCTATATTGCATCTTGAGGTTGAATATTTTTCCTCCAGTTCATTCAGTTTGATAAATGCCATGAATGTTCTTTTCTTTTTGGTTTTTTAACTACAGTTCTTTGCACATTTCACTGTGTAAACCAATACTTTATATTTTGTCTCCTTCAGCTTCTCATTGAAATAGCCTGTTGAGCTCTT